CAGCTAGGTGAACTATGTCAGATCATGGCTGCCTCCACAGAGAGTAGCCTACGAAGAAGTAGAAGAGGTGGACATTCCTAAAGGTACTCTAGAATCAAAACCAGGATGTAGCTGCCAACCCGGTGCTATCAACAGAACCTGATAATGTGGGTTACAACATATCATAGTTAGTACTACGGGTAACATGTGAATTGGAAGGAAGGCCTAAAGTTGTAATCCTGTCCTATCCTGAAAGAATGCATCCATTGCTAAAGCTTAAAGGTGAGGTACTGGAGACCAAATCGACAGTAGTTGGGTGTTCCAATGAGAGGCCAACCCACCAATCAGAGTTGCAAAATGAGAGCCAATTCAACAGAACCTTGCAATGCAGTATCTATTCTGTTGTGAGAATCTGTTTGGGTTGAGACACTTGATCTGCTACCATAGTCATTACCCTTGGAACATGGCAAGCTAGTAGGGCAATATGAAAGAAGAGGTCCAGAGAAAGGAGGTCCAAGATTTGAAAACAAGGAGCCCTGAACCAAGTGCCTTTTTGATGAGAAACACACGACACCACCTCAGAATTGTGAGAGTGAAGCTTGACGATTTTACCCTTAATAGGTCCAGACCATAAGGTATTGCCTTTTTAAAAGCAAGAAGGACTAAATTGTTTCTGAAAGTAGAATCAGGATGTGATGTTCTGACATTTAATGAGATGATGCCAACAGTAACCAGCCATCTATGGAATGGTATGTGCACAGTGCTACGGAATGGAAGTGGCAAGAAAAAAGTCATACAATTTGGCAGAACACCAATGAACCGAATATGTCTCCATCTCACTACGAGTAAGATCACTGACAGTCTCAACCAAGAATGACCCCCCCCCCCCTCGATTGTTGTGTGATGCTAGATATCAGAGGTGGAATAGGAAAGACCTGATTTGCCTGTGTCAGAAAATAATAATCTGGAAAGTTATACATTAAATTGGCTTGCCAATCAAGGGAATAAAATTATTTTTTTCCTTCCAAAATTAACTAGGTAACACAGAGAATTCTCAAAGTATCTCCAAAACAATCGTAGCACTGAGAAACCTATTAGTAATGCTTTGTCAAGAAAAAGTGATAACATTATCTGAATGAGGTGCTTATATATAGTACAAGGATAGAGGGCACATTGACATAGTTAGAGAGTGTCAGGAAACAAATGTCCCCAAGGCAATTAAGTATAGTATAAAAAGACTGGAGCAAGCAAGAAATAATCAGACCAATGCTTAGATGGGCAAAGGAAGAAACCCTGGCAGAGGAGGAATATCTGTAAGTGTGAGAGGTGGTAAATATGTTTTGGAATTAATAATTCACAAATTAAATCATAACTGATACAGCAACACTTCAAACATAAAGCATGATATCCAGTGAATTGTTTTAACATAAAGTAAAGATTATTGGCCAATTTATAACTTAAATTGAAATAACAACAACATATGTGACAGTGTGTACTATGCAGTTCTGCAATCTAATACTATAAAACACTGTGTGTGTGTCTCTTAGTCACATGGCAACTTATTACATAATTTAAGTAGTTTGGCTTCCTGTCAATTAGAAGCAAGTAGTCTAAAATTGATTGAAAATGAGAAATATTTGGACTAAAATGTACAAAATATTGCATCTTTTTTGTAATTTGAAAATGTATCTTTGTTAAATTGTGTGGTTACACCAGAAAGGACAAATATACTTTAGTAGACATTTTATACAACATATTAAAAGCTTATAAAAGTTTTTTAAAAGGTCTAACATTATGTCGTGGAATAATATTAGAAGATTATTTATTAATAGTGTTAAGTGAGGTAAGGTTTAACCCTAACTGAACTAAAGTAAAAACTGTACACAAGTTTCAGTGTTAATTTATCTCTATCGAATATAGGCCATACTTAATACAGACTTAACTAATGTTAAAACAAAGACAAGTGGACTTATAGACTTCAGTGACTGAAATTAGAATTCTTTTGTATTACTATAGAAATCCTGTATTTAAAGAAGTACTATTGCAATAAAGACACTAATTCGGCTGCAAATACTTTGGGAGGGGGGTGGGGTCTCTGCCATAAACATTGATCTGAAAACCATGTTGCACATAATCTTACCAACAATCACAGGCCTAATAATGCCATGTACTAGCCAATTTTGTTGAAGGAGATTTTACAATTAAATACAATATATATCATTACAATTAATATAATATTATATGACTATATCTTATTTACAAAAGTTACTTTTGTACTTCTTTTAAAGCTTGTGAACAGCTCTTTTGAAAATAACCTATGCTAATCTCTAAGCTCACACTGTGAAACGAATATAAAGTTTTAAATCATGCGAGGGAGATTTTGTAAAGCAAAAAGCAACTGCCAAAGTAATCTATGTTTATTTCAACAAAATAAAAGTTGGATAACCAATAAAATTAATTTATTCTCTTTACGTAGCATAAAACAAAAAAAAAACCTTGATGTAGGTAGATTACTTGAAGGCTAAAATCTTAGAAAGCTATTATCCAAACAAGACAAAAAAGGAAGCTCTACAGTAAATACATTATGGGGAATAAAGTAATCCCAGCTTCCAGATGGTGTATTTATTATTTTGTTAGCATTACACATCAAGCCAAAATTCTAAACCTGTACACTCCACTTATAGTTATATTTTGCAAGTGACTTGAGGAGAGAGATCAGAACTTTAAAAACTGGTTGATGTGATTTACCCTTGTAAAAAACATGATATAACAGGCTGAAAAGGGTTCATTATATGGCAGATAACACAAATATTCACTATTGCTGAAATTAACATTTATTATTAGGTTTTTCTGTATTAAAATGTAACATTTTCCTTACCTGCATCACAAAGGGCTGTTACCTTATGCACGTTACCATGTAATTTCCTTTATAATGATATAAATCTTGAACAAAGTTCTCACCCCTAAATATGTCAATATTGCATCAGCCTATGATGTAATTATAATTAGACTATAGCCATCCACCAATAGGAGGGCAACACCCCTTCCAAGTGCAGTAGTTCTCATAATCACTAGGTCGTGCACACTGGCTCATTCTTCAGGAGGCAAACTAAATGTACCAGAAGAGGGGGTGGAAGGTGGTACAGAGAAGTAACTATATGAAATATGATTAACAGGGAAACCAAAGACTGCTGGCATACAGCTTTAGCCCAAGGTTTCAAAGAATTGGAAACATGAGGGAGAGACACACAAGTACAACCAAGCAAATCCCAAAAACAAAAAAAAACACTTCAACAAAAACATAGTAGTAGAAGAGATTGAGGACAAGGCAGCAAACAAGTAGGAACAAGTGTCTCCATTTAAACTGTTATGGTAGCAATGTGGAGCCTCAAAAAGAAGGTGAAACATAGACATATAGGGAAGAGGATGCTTAATGGTAAAATGAAGGTAAATATATTAAAGCCAAGTAAAATAAAAAGCAGGAGAAAGAGGAACACTGCAAGCAGGAAGATTCTAGGGACTGAGGTTTGAAAAAAATGTAAGGTTTATGACCATGGGCCATAGAAAAAGTCATGACAGCAAATAAGTTAAGGTTGACATGAATTGGCAAGTTGTTGGGACAGAAAAACATCAACATGAACACAAGTGTTGGGAGAGAATAAAGCAAAACAGAGCAAGATTCATCAAAAACTACTGGAAAAAGAGAAAGGATGTCACGTACCCGAGTAACCAAAGTTACAAGGAAAGTAGAGGTACTTGCTCATCATAACAAAGAGAAGAGCCAGAAGCAAAAGAAAACAGAGGGAATAACTGGCAAAGTCATCATTAGATATTGCATATTTAGCAGAAGCAACAGAAACAGAAATGGGGGACCTAGAGGAGAAATAAATGAAGCAGATGCGTACCTACCTCCTGATGTACAATAGCAGTAACATCATTGATAAACAAGGCTCCTCCAGTAGCCATTGAAACTGCAGGAAAAGAACCATGAAGGAAAGTGCAAGAGCTTTGGGAAATAACATAAACAAGAATCTGAGATTCATGTTCAAAAATAGTCTATGAATCGACTATGATTGTCATTTTTTTATGCTTATAAAATGGTTAAATAGAGGAGGGTACTCATAGTTCAACAATAACAACAAAAAAAAAGGACTAATACAAACTACATGAGCAAGACAAAGAAAAAACTCAAGTTAAGATATCAAATTGTCATGCAAATCCTACAAAATTTGAAAAAAGCACAAAACACACAGTTAAACACAAACATTGCTGGGGAAAGAACGAGCTTGTTTTCATGTGTTAATGCTCCTGGGAATTACTGCACATGGAGGGTATCACCCTCCTACTTGTGGAGGGCTAGGGTATAATGATGACAATTACATTGCTGGTGCAACACTACTGACACGTGTAGGAGTGGGAGCTTCATTCAAGGTTTGTGGCATGCAAAGAAAATTAAACGGCAGAGTGGGTGTGAAATAACAACTCTTTATGAATCAGAGGTGTGTGTGTGTGTGTGTGTAGTGTTTCGGAATAGAAATTTTATAATAATGAAAATTTAATATAAATTACATTTCAACTGAATATTCAAATCACCAAAATGTCAAACCTACAAACAAAGTTGAATAATAATTAATTATCAGATAGATAAATATTTACAACTGAAGAACATTTAACCAACAGCAAAAGAACTGCATATTTTAGAAAATGAAAGTTGTGTATATACTTCTTAGATAACACACATACAGAGAAAATTTCTATTACCTTTTCTTCATTTCCACATTTGTCTGGTCCAAACATAATACTGTATGATGTTTTATCATGAAAGTTTTTTAAATCCAAACCTTCAACATGGGAGAGCAGTTTTAAATAAGCACCACCACATTCTTGCCCATTTTGGAAGCGAACCTCATACCTGAAAGATAGAGCAAACATACATTAATGCCTCTAGGACAAGGGTGTCTATCAATCTTATTTCATTTCAGGGTCCACATTTATGAGAGATAACTCAGAGGTCCCTTCCTTCTCATTTTCCTTCAAATGCAATCTTATGCTGAAAACACATGGTTATCAACACATGCATTGAATGGACTTTACTAAAACAAGAACCAAATCATGTTACTAGATCAGATCCTTCTTACATGATACATAGGCAAAGACTGGCGTATCATACCACATGTGGCTACAGACCATACTAAAGACAACTGGGACATATTTTGTAAGGTTTAGTCAAGAAACTTCCACAGAACACATTTGACACTCCCGTTTAAGAATACCAACTTTATGTGACAAAGGTTAATCTATATATATATATTAAAATTTCAAAGCATGTTTCAACACACACACATCTTATTTTAATCAGAAAAATACTTAAAATGCTTTTAATATGTTATAAGCCATTTCTTTTAAAAAAAATATCTTCAATACAAAATATACAAAGAATATACTAATTTTATGTTTCTGAACATGTGTGTGTTTGTTCATCATTTTGCAGTGGCCACAAGAATCTAACCTTTACAAAAAAAAAAAAAGAACATAATACTTTGATGCAAATAAAAGTAAACTGAATTTCGTATCTGTCTGTACATGTACACAATGTAATTTTACTTCTATACACTTTTATATTCTTCTACCTTAGACTCAAAAATCATCTGTAATATCCACCATACTACAAGAAAACACATTAAATCATGCAATGTCCATTACACAACAAGAAAATACATTAAATCACGTTTAGCCCTACATACTACAAAAAGAAATACATTAAATTATGTGAAGCCCATCACACTAGAAGAAAATACACTAAATCTTGCAATGCTTATCATGCAACAAGAAAATTTAATTAATTTTCCAAATATAATACGCATTTTTTTCACTCAATTTTTTTAGAAGTTAGGATATGTATACAGTCATAAGTTAGTTGTTTTTTTACAGCTAGTACAGACCATCTTTTCCAACACACATTGTGACCAATAATGCATACTTACTAGAAATGTTGCATTTTGATAGTATGTCTTATTAACTTCTCTCCATTTTCAAAGCATAAATGAAAAATGTCTCCTATTTTCAGTGTCTTTAAACATGATTTTTGAAATAGAATGATTAAGAAGTGTTGTAATTTTTGAGGTATATTTACATGCATACTTAGAAACTTTTGGAAATACAAAACTAATTATCACTACATTATGTTTGATAATCCAAACTATAAATCAATTTCAGTGAAACCTTCAAATCCTGAGTGCACATCACTGTCCTCAAATAGTTTGCACAACTTTCTACATAGCAAACACTAAGGCAAACTCACTTGTAGCGATTTTATGGATACTCTAAAATTTTGACAACGTTTATTTGTCGGCCACAATTTTAAAAATTGCAAGCACTACAGTGAACATGCAATTAGAGTTTATTTGGATACAATAACATTCTTGTCATCAAAATGTCACTTTAACCACAGTATTGCAAAAGTCTAGGTATGTATTACTTATGGTGACAGGCAAATTTGACTGTTTGTGAAAACTAGAGTACATATTATATTTGGAAGTATTTCCAGAAAATTATGGTAAAACATGTAACATCCATCATACTACTACTACTATAAAATACATTAAGTCATGTAATGTCCATCATACTGCTAGAACAGGCCTTAATAAATCCTGGGTGTCAGGTTGCCATGACAACTAAAAATTAAATCATGGCACCCAGTATTTTCTCCCATTTTATTCGTGCATAGGGCTGTGCTAAATCTAGAACAGTTCTGGACTCGTGTTCAACATTCATCATTTGCACTGGTTTACATTTTGCTTTATTTGGTATAGTAAAGTCTTGCTTATTTCAAACAGTCCCATATATTCCAGTGCTTGTTCATTTTATAGCACATCTTGTATGTATTAACATGTATGCACTTTTCAATACACAATGTATACACTACATAAATGATATATTAGATAAATCTAGCAGTAGGTGGCTGGTTGCTATACTTATAGTACATCTTTATGGGTGAGAGGTACTCATGCTCATTTTCATCATGTACGATATAGCAATCCACTGGGTGTTGTAGTTCATTTTTACATAGGTTCTTCTGGAAATAAGTGTATGATCTGTTTAGAAGTCTGTTATAGAGTGGTTGTATGTGAGCACAGTTATGTAAAAGGCAGGAACTCGTTGAACGTGGGACTTTGTATACACTTGCGAGTATCGAGTTCTGTAATTTTTGTTACTTTTATTATATTTGGTGCTATGTTAATCCACACCGGACATGCACACTCTATTACTGGGCATATGTATTGTTTTTATATCTTCAGTATGTTTTTGGGTGATGTGCCTGTATTATTTCCACACAGACCTCTAACCCGGTCGATTAATCTCCAAGTTTTATTTGTGATTTCATTTATATGTTTTTGCCAAGTTAATTTTGAATCATAGGTAAGGCCTAGGAATTTTGCTGATGTAGCTGTCTGGAGAACATTTCCATGAAGATAAGAGTTCTGGGATTTTTTAATGAGTTTCTTTAATTTTGCAAGTGTTTGTGTTTTTGGTAAATTAATTTTAATTATTTTCCTTTGGCAGTATTCTGCTATTTCATTTAGAGTGGGTTGTAAGTTAGCAGCTGGTATGGAGGGTGTTTGGGAACTTCCAGATTGCTACATTATCTGCAAATTGTGAGGTGTAACAGAAATTTGGATCAGTTAATGGCATGTCACTTATATACATGATTAAAAGGATGGGGCTAGTTACTCCTCCTTGAGGAACACCCACCTCAGGAGTAAAATATTCTGAGTAGGTACCCTGTACATTAACCTGACGTTTTCTATTTTCTAGGAAGTTGGATAACCAGCAAATAACACCTTGCAGCAGTTCCATCTGTAGCATCCAGAATCTTAGACCAGAGTGCCAGACTGTATCGAAAGCCTTCACTAGATCAAGCAAGTAAACCACAGTACATTTTTTAGTTGAAGCTATCTATTACAGTTTCAGTCAAACTAACAAAGTGTTCAGTTGCTTCTCAAAATTTTCTGAAACTGTTTTGTACCTCTGGTAATTTTGATTCCTAGATATGTGTTTAATCTATTACTTATTATAATTGATACTTGAAACAGTCAATACTTGGTGAAACTCTATAATTACAGAATTGAGGAAAAACAAGACAGTTGTTCATTCAGCGTGTTCTATATTTTGTGAGAAGGTTTTACATGTACCTCATCTTAAACAATTTCTTTGTTTTGTTGTCATTTGGTATGGTACAAGTGGATTTATCGATTTTGAATTTATGGCTTTCAATTTTTTAAACAACGTTTTAATCAACTTTGTTGTATAACCATTGTTAACAGCAATTTGTTTTATAGTTTTAATTCAGTTTCATAATCTTCAGATGACAAGTCTGTGTAACAAAAACCCTAAAAGTCTGCAAGATATTGGATGTTTTGAAGAAGTATGTATGATGGTGTCACTATAAGTCGGTTTTCTAAAGATGTTGAAGGAATGTTTGATATTCTTTATATCAATATCTAAGTCTAAAAAAATTAAAGTTTCACCAAATTCCATAGTAAATTTAATAAATTTGTTTTATGAATTTAGAAAAGTTACAAAAGTGTGTGTGTGTTCATGCATGCACACATAATAAAATCTGTAAATTAAGGAAAAAAGGTTCAACCTTTGCATCCTACCTTATTGAAACTAAACACCAATTTGATCCAGAAACAAAACTGCACAATTTTCCATATCTGTGGAAAGGGTAACCTAGACAGTCTGGAAATTTTAAAAATAAATAACAGTATAAAACAAACCCAGAAAAAAGTTCTAAACAACCAAATCAATATAAGCTCCTCCCTGTTTCTTACCCTACTTCTCTCTAGGTGAATGTCCAGGTCACTTCCATTTCTTTGTTTAAACATATATATATCATTTCATCCTATACATGATGATGCTTTTACTGGCAAAAAAAACCATGGTCGTGAATAAACAAGGTATTTGTGAAATGTACAATTGTCTTGTTTTTCTCAATTCTGTATTACATATTACTCGTTCTAAAATTTTTCCTACACAGCTGGTCAGGCTGATTGGTCTGTAGCTCTGTGGTTTATTTACTGGTTTCCCTTCCTTTAAATACATGATAATATTTGCTTGCTTCCAAGAAACGTTAGGTTAGGCACACCTAGCTCCTGAGTTTTTTAGCAGGCTCGTAGATCTGAAAATATTTGTCGAGGCCTATACTAGAAAATACATAAAATCATGTAATGCCTATTTAACTACAAAACATATAATAAAACCTTCTAAACACCACAGAGAATGGTGTGTATCTGTTGACCTTTCAGCTAACATCATTTTATACACAATTAGATATCAAGGTCAAGTTTTCAATTAGTCATGTGTTCTTAATTCTTTACCAGCCTTACTAAACTTCTATGCATTTTTTTTACATACTTTAAATCATTACAAGGGTACTAATATTAATAAACAATTTACCTTTCCCCTAATCCTTATCTTATTTACCCTAACAAACCATCAAAATATCCCACATACAAGGAATACCTAGTTTTCGATATCAGCCAACATCAGGTGTAGCTGCTGAGGGTTCTAATTCAAAAGCAATCTATTCTAAGTAAGCTAGAGATAGTTCAAGCAAAATATACAAGACAAGAGTAGCTTTAAAAAATGTAATAAAGCACATGTACAATTTGGAGATGCAAGTAAAAATATCATAAAGAGCTAAATGTATATACATTACAGTCTCTTGTATTTAATCATTGCTTCAATAAAAATAAAAACTAATAATTAAAGAAATCCATGAATAAAATACAATTTACACTATTTTAAGACTTCTTCGACAAATGTGAATAATGTATAACAGCAGATTTATTTATTATGTAGCCAAGTAAATTTCCAATTAAATGTTCATTTCTTATATTAATACTCTATTTTTTTTTTTGATATACAGAATGAAATCCCAATTATTACAACTTCCACCATGAATATGGCTCAAGAGGACAGCTTATTTATTACAAATAGCAAAGTTTCTACCCTCTTTTAGTGCAGTAGACATGTTCCATACTTCTTTACCTAATGGGTCTGCAAGAGTTTTAACAAGCAAAATACATTACATTGTCTTTTGAGAACAGTTACTATTCAACTCTACAGCCTAAGGTGTATGGTGTTACTCTAACAAGTAGACATGCCAAAAGCTACACATTGCTAGAAGTACAACAAAGTAATCTCTTAGTGATATTCATTTAATCTTTATATTAATTGTATCATTAAAAAAGAACAAAGGATAAAAGTAAAGTTTAGTTTTCAAAGTTAAGATGGCTATAGAATTAGATTTTGCTTTGGAAATTATATGACTCATAGTTTTTGTATATTAGATGCCTGGAAATGTTCTTAAAACATTTTTTTTTATTTGAAAAATGTCTGAAGCAGCCGGTCTAGTAAATAGTGTGTTGAAGTAAGGGCAATCTAAACGAGCAATAATTTGTAGAAGAATAAAAGTTATACAGTTTTCAACAATTAGTTCTTTCAGAATGTTAGTAGTTTGTCTTAAGTGCACCAGAATTACTCATGCTGTTGCTTTAATACAAAAGAAATTTTTAATTTAATGTAATAATAACACTTTTGCACTCATTTCACAGATTTAAATTATACCACTACAAAAATATTTATGATTTACTTTCAGCTCAAACATTTCCAATTAGATGAAACTAAAAAAAAAAAGAAATTGAAGAAAACTATGTTGACCTGGTGTTTTATCAGTTGTTAATGCCTTCAAATACAAAGCAATTGTTTTCAAAAGAACTTGGAGTTTTCTATGACTAATAATACAAAGTGTGAAAAATCATTAAGCAAATGAAGATTACATTTAACATTAAAATATTAAATTACAGAAAAGCAAGTATAGCATACTTACTGAAGAATGAAGGGTTTATCATCAAAAACAAATGCTTTATCCAACCTTGATGATATGGCATGATGATGAGCTTTAGACTTTAAAAAAAAAAAATTGAATTACATCTCACACTTAAACTGATATTTATGTTCTGCAAATTTTAATTCATTCAGTAAACATCTATTCAATGTTACCACACACACAGCCAACATGCAAGTCTACTTCTTTTCAACTTATGTGCTGTGACCACAGACATCTTCCATTACGTCAAACTGGCAATGGGAAAATTATTTTTTTTTAGACAAGAATCTCATAATAGATAGCTCAATTTTGGTGGTTTATATATATATATATGATAAATAAAATATTTTTTACATTTTTTATTATTATTAACATTTTAATGGGTTAAATTTGTATTTTAATAAATGAAATGATTTCCTTTTTTGACATCATAAAGAGGATACTAGTTATTCAAGGTCATTCAAAGTTTATAAACAACTTACTTTGAAATATTATTATTTAGTGATTCGTTCAGTATACAGGACTGGGAGGCAAAATTCAGATGGCTGGGCTTGCCTTAGTTTACCCATATTATATTTGAATAAGGTTGTCAAAGGAGGAAGATGGGTATTTAATTAATTGTTACCAAACTGTCAAGGTAGGAGTTTACAGTTCCAATTACCATCATTTTGTAAAAAGTGGAAGTCATACAAATGTAAAAATATAGGATGGTTTATTTCTATTTTAATTTTACCAGTTGCCTTTTATTTCAAAATATTAGGGGTGACTGCTTTTCCACAAATGGCTGCATACAGTGAAAAGCCGTAGGAACCGAGACGTTGTGGGTCAAAGCATTCACTCCTAACCCCTAATATGATCTTCCGTCATAGCTACCTGGTTTGACATTTGCATCATGTCTGATAGATGGAATATCTAATGCTTTAGGATGCTATGATCACAAACATTTTCCATTATGAGTTAGTTACTAATGACAAAGGCTGGCAATGGACAAGTTTTTTTTTTGCTTTTTTCGGTTAAAATCTCATAATAGACATCCCAGTTTTGTTTTTTTATATTAATGTCCTTCATTGTTCTATAGTGCTGATTTGACCACCTATGCACAGTTGATGTAATTTCTAATATTAGAACTATTTACTAGCTCATATGTGTGTAAACACACACACATATATAATCAACTTGGGACTGTGGCCATAATTCTGTGAATTACACAAGAATTAAAGTAATAATAAACTAAAATGTAATTTATATTACACATTTTTATAAGATATGATGTATCATGTACATACAAGAATTGTAAAGTTTCAGTTGAAGACTGAAAAGTACCACAAAGATTACTGATTTTTTAAACTTAATACAGGAATACTTCAAACAAAACAATAATTATCAATCTGTCTTAATGTGTGCAATCTACAGAGAATTAATCAAGCTTTATTAGAATGATATGCATATGCTAATGCAGTGGCATTCACTAGAGAAGTGAGGCATAGCACCACAGGTAATATTCTTAGCACCTATATGTTTGATTCAAAAAGAATTTGAGTATTCAACAGTGCAATTCTGCCAGGGATATACTTATAGCTGCACAGAAATCTCAATCTTTTCAAAGAAAGATTATCACATAATGAAATCAGTAAACAATTTAGACAAAAGGATACAGCATTTAAAGCAAAGAATCCTTTACTGTTCTCCAGAGAAACAAAACACATACACAACAAAGCATATAGGACAGCAACAGACTCCAAAACCACATCCCAAACCGATCCACTCATTACAACACCGTCATCCACAAAGTATAGGTTTAAAGTTAGGAAAGACAACCTTCCTAGCCAAAAAAAATTACTTTAAAGAAGCTGGGCATAGCTGCAGGCACTGTTAACAAGAAAATAAACAAGGTTTTAAGTTAACATTTTCCTAATCTGAAAATGTATCTCCAATAAATACCTCCTCACCCAGTTTAGCTAGCTTCCTCATTCGTCTGCCTAAAAGATTTACAAGTAGCCTTGAAGCAACTCTCACCTCATTTTACATTTTTATGTGAACTGCACTGGTGCATGATGTTATCATGTGACAAAAGCCATCCACCAATAGGAGGGCGACACAACCTCCATGAACAGCAACTCCCCCATGCACTTAGGATAACTTCATTCTTTAACGAGGTAAGACATAAATGTGCACTGAAATGAGAACACAAGCATCCAAACACTTATACAAAAGTGGCCAGCAAGCCAAGACATGTAGTGTGGTTGGTGCATATACACACCGTACCTTGAGTTACAATCAATACCTGCTCAAAGAAAATAACAGGAAAAGTGTTATAAAAGCAAAATTACAAATAAGAAAACTTATGAAATTCATTGCTACTATGTAACAAAGCTGAATTTATGTGAAAACATACCTTCATTGCTAGACCCAAATCTCCAATAAGTCCATTCTTTTCAGCTTCCTCTACTGCCCATTTTCCTATGAAAATATATCAAACTTATTAAAAACTATAAAATTACTATACAACTTACAGTAATTACGTCTATGGTGGAAATATATCCTAACCCAAAAACTTGATAAATGTTCACCCTTTGTTCATTTGTGATAAACAGTTCTTGAAAATAAATTTCTAACTGTGAAAAATTTAAAAAAAAAATAGATAAAAAACAAAATCAAGGACACAAGACAATAAACGAATAGTTACGGCAAAGGTTGCTTTGAGGGAGGGTGAGAAAAGAAAGTGTTGGGTTTACGTGGGCACACAGTAGTAAAAACTTAGGGCTATAAAAGTAGGTTCAGTTTCATTCAGGTAGCAGCCTAATAGATTTGAGCCTTTAGCAGCTTTACTACAATGATGATCCAAAGGTCTATGTAGTAGGGAAACTCTTTCACCAAGTATTCTTATTATAAAGTTATTTGTAATGAGAAATGTAAAACTAGGACTAGGATTAGATTGCCAAGTGCTAAAGAAATGAACATCAGTGTGTTGACTGTTTAGTTACCGGTACCATGGAACCATCACTTTTCTTTTGTGAATGTTGGAAACTGTAAATCAGAAGACAAGACGAACTGATTAATACATATAAAGAACTCCTTCAGAGGATTAGGGATAGAAATAGAAGTGTGGACCTTTCAGAAATGCTCCTTCAGTGTAAATGCAAATTAATTATGTAACAGATCTAAGGCTTAAATGAAAGATTATCAGGATTATGCTTAGAGCAACTGGTTGGAACTGTAGTATTTAGGGAAGGGTGAATTATATGCTTTAGATGGGCTCAACTCAAGCAGATTAGGTAGTAGAATGTTAGGGGAAGCTCTGAATATATTTATTAAAGATAGTTCAACCTAAATATAAATAATGGACAGGAAGCTTAGGAATATTATTATAAACAATTTCATATGATAACTAAGGCAAGGAAGAAACTGCAAGAAAGTTGACAAAGATACAGAAATGATCGTCTCAAAACTTACAGGACTATTGAAAAATTGGACTAGAAAACAAATAAGATAAATCTTGACATCCAGTTTTTAACATAATGCAAAACCCAGTCATTAACTCTGAAGTTTCTTCAGTCCAAACTCGCTAATAGAAACCTTCAAAACTCAAAAGCATACTATACTTGTTAAAAGCATTTACTTGATGAAGAACTTATATAGGAACACTGACACAAATATCCTCTCTCATCTAATCTGAATTCATCTATAACATCACTTTCCAACTTCACATCCTGGCTGAACTTCAACCACCTTTTGAATCTTATCAACCAAAGTAATGAGAATAAAATTGCTAGACACAAACACATACAGAATGTTAAACTATGGAAACTTTCTAGCAACATAACTTGCAGCAACATCACTTTAAGTGACAATCGGAAAAATGCACTAGCCAAAGGACTGAACTTCTCCATACCCTCCTCAAAACTCAATTATGCCAATTACCTCTATCTCTGGGAATTCTTGCACTGGAAAATAAAATCTTTACCTATTTTTACCAAGAATTCTTCTTAACAAGCAAGAAAACTATTTACTACTAAGTTAAAATACCTAGCACTCACCACCTTCTATAACTATAACACACATAGGATATCCTCAAATCTGAAGAATTGGCAGCTATCAAAGAACTCTACCAAAACAAAAATATCCTCATCACCCGACCAGACAAAGGAAACAGAGTTGTTATTCTCAACAAAGTTGACTATGTTAAGAAAATGCTTGACATTATTAATGACCACAACAAGTTCAAACTTATAAACAAAGAACCATTAACCCATACTTTAAAACTTGAAGGGAAAACTCGGAGATTTCTTAGAAATCTAAGCAAAATAAATAATTCTGATTATGTTAACAGCCATTTATATCCTACAGGCTCCCAACCTGGAGTATTACATGGCCTGCCGAAAGTTCACAAACCAGACATCCTCCTCCAACCAATACTTTTCATCTTATACACTCACAATTATAACTTAGCTAAATTCCTTGTACCCATCTTAAAACCTTTTACTAGGAACAAATTTACAACACCTAACTCTTTCCAATTTTCCAGAGAAATCAATGAACTCTCCCCCTACCCCCTAAAAATCATGTGATGGCAAGCTTCAATATTACTTTTTTTTTAATAATATTTCCCTGGACAAAACTATTAGTATTGCACTGTCTAATCTCTGTGCTAAAAACATTCTTTTTAATGAACTTTCTAAATCTGATTTCAAATCTATGCTTGAATTCTCGACTAAAGACTCCATTTTCTTCTTTAACAATACTCTATATGAGCAGATAGATGGCATTGCTATGGGCTCCCCCCCTGGGTCCTATGCTTGCTAACATTTTTCTATGTCACCACAAACAGAACTGGGTGATAACTGTCCTTTAAGCTTCAAACCTGTTCACTACAGAAGGTATGTTGATGATACGTTCCTTATTTTCCTCCATACTGATCATATCCAATGCTTTCTTGTCCATCTTAATTCACAAAACCCTTCTATACACTTTACTCATGAAATTGAGACAAATAACATTCTTTTCTAGATGTTCTTGTTAACCATTATGCTAACAGCTTTTCAACTTCTGTCTATCATAAAAATACATTTTCTGGCCTTTTCACTCAGTTTGACAGTTTTATACCCTTCTCTTTCAAATGCAATCTTATTCTCTGTTTACTAAATAGGGCCTACAAACTTTCCTCATCCTATCTAGCCCTTCACAAAGAAATTACCTTCATACAAAGCATTTTCTTTCAAAATGGCCAAACTAAGCATTTTTTAGAGAAAATAACTTCCTCTTTCTTAAATTACTTGTTTCTCAAACGACCTAAGATACCCACTGTACCAAAGAGCTCCCTTATCACAAAAAGAGTTGAAAAAATTATGAATTTTTTACTGTCCCCAAACTGACTTGAAAGTTATTATGAAACCTAATTTCAGACTAAAAAACATTTTCTGCTACAAAGATAGTTGACTGCCTACTGTTCACATCTCATCAATTTATACACGTGCGGAGACTTTAAGGCCTCCTATATTGGTGAACACATGGCTTATCTACAAAGACTGGAAAAAAGGTTACAAACCATTCCAACTTGCTATCAACTTTAAAATTCTCTCAACAGCCAAGCATGATCCTGAACTTCTTATAAAAGAAACATTATACATAATTCTTCTTCCATCCCTAAATAATTCACAGTCTTCACTTGATTTAAACCCATTTTAATTTAACTATTTTATTTGTGCCACATTTTCTCCTGTTATAATTTGTATATTCAAATTGTTTACTTCTTATGTATATCATATTTGTAATTACAAATATTGTTTGTTTGTTTGTTTTGTACTTCTAGATTACTGATGATGGAATTTTGATGATTCCAAAATGTTTAATAAATGCTTCCTATTATTATGTTCGTGCTGTGTTTTAATATGAAAAGTTAAATAATAATTTTAAGGATAATAGAAACAAAATGGATGAATTCAGGAATCAGGTTGAAACTGAAGACTATGATATAATAGGAATTACTGAAAGTTGGCAAAAATCAGAAAAACACTGTTAAATTGAATTCTTTTGAAACTGAAAGTTACAAGTTACTCATTAGTGACTTACTCTTAAAAAGGGTTGGATAGCTCTTTATACAGATGTATAAAGATTACAATTAGGGGTTTCAAGGTCAAAGTTTTCAACTTGTAATTGATATATACCACATAATAATCAGACAGATGATGTCGATATTTCTTTTGACATTCTTTGAAAAGATTACTGTATATGTAGATGAGGGTAAAGGTGTAGATTTGGTGTATCTGAATATTAAGAAAACATTTGACAAGGTTCCACAAAAAAAGGCTTATAAAAAAATTATCTCTATAGGTGTGGGGGGATAAGTTAGCAAATTGGATAGAAGAGTGGCTGGATGGAAAAAAGCAGAGGGTTGTTACAAATAGAGTTCAGTCAAACGGGATCAATGTTACAAATGGGGTACCTCAGGACTCAGTCTTAGGACCTTTGCTCATTTTGATTTACATCAATGACGGAATAGTCAATAAATTATTTAAATTTGCAGATGATATTATGGTCTTGGATGTTGCTATCTGTGAAGAGGATGGTGCTGATTTACAAAAGGATTTAGATCATTTAGTGAGTTCGGCAAATAAATAGTAGATGGGTTTAAATTATAATAAAAGCAAGATAATGTATGTGGGTTATCATAATTTGAATTATAAATATAATTTGGATGGGAGTAAACATAACAATGTTATGAAGGAAAGGGACCTTGGTGTAATAGTCGATGAGTCTCTAAAGCCATCCAAGCAGTGTGCTAGCGCTAGTGGTAGGGCAAATAGGATTTTAGGTTGTATCTACAGAAATATTGAATACAAGTGTAAAGAGGTTATAATTCTATTGTACAGGTCACTGGTTAGGCCACATTTGAAATATTGTGTTCAGTCTTGGGCTCTGTACCTTAGGAAAGACATTGAATTGTTCGAAAGGGTTCAGAGAAGGGTTATTAGAATGGTGCCTGGGATGGAGTGGTTGTCATATGAGGAGAGGCTGAAATCTCTCAAATTGTTTTCTCTTGAAAAAAGAAGAGTTTGAGGTGTTTACAACTGTAACGGGAATTGATAGTGTTGATGAATCATCTTTTCTTGATATTTAACAGTGAGAACAGAAGGACTAGGGGACACAAATATAAATTTTGGCAAGACAGGAGTCATCTTCAGCTAAGACTATGAGCTGCTCATGTGCGTGCCTCGAGAATTATTGTCATTTCCGCTACAAAGTATAGTGCAAAAGTATTTGTATGCTGCCTTACATCCTGAAAATGTCTAGCATGGTCAATTGTTTATATTTATTTTATGTTTGTAGTGTTGGGTGTGAATACCAAAAGATATTGACACAGCAGGTGAATAATTGTATCTTTTTTAAGTCTGGCAATAGTTTAAAAATACAGTTGATTTAAGCATCTAAATCTGACAGAATAAGTGAATGAATATTGGAGAGAAATTGCTGCTGAAGTAAAATTTTATTTCTAGTTAAAGGATAGAAACTAAAAACTGCTGTTTATACAGTTGTATTTCATGTTTGGATCAAAGTCAGCTTGGAAAAGCCAACTTCAGCAGTTATAGTGCACAGCAGTGAGAAGCAAGTAATGTTTAAAAACAGTATTTTCATTTATTTTTCAATAGATATTCTAAACTTCAGAAACATTTAAAGACAGAACAATAGCTCTGAACTTTCCTTTTTGTTACACATACATAGGTGTTAAAGCAATTACCTCAATTTGAGTGCTATGGTGGCTGCTGAAATCAAAAGAGAAGTCAATGACTTATAGTTGCCAACAGGCCAAGTAACACTTTAAGTGATGCAGTAACCCACATGAAGTACATTCTACGAAACTTCTGCTGCAGCAGTTCAATTGTAGCCAGCTAGTTTAAGGGCTGCAACTGTTGTTGTTGTTTCTTTTTTGTTGTTTCTTTTCATATTGGGTGCTGTTCCCATGATACCTGAGAAACAGGCAATTTGCTTGCAAGGAGAACAGTACTCAATCATTGTCAGCAACATGCTGGTGATATAGAGTATGTGTTGAGAGTAGGATAGTTTCATCCATTTGTTAATCTTTTATCCATCCCTTCTACTGATTGTGTAAGTTAACTTCTCTCAATCTTTATACTTTACTTTAATTTTGTCTTCTCAGCCTAGAAGCCATGTAGAACAATTGTATGTGAAAATTAGTTGTGTTCATCAAACTTGTAGTTTCTTTGTTTCTGCAGTGTTCTCAAAATAGTATTCCACTCAGTCAAATCTTTGAACTTCTTGTTATTTAGGGGTAGTTTACCAGTGTGCCATTATTCCTCTACACTAGGAATACCACACATTCATATTCTCAATAGCTCCCTCCAAAATGAGATGTATGCTAGTTTGTTTTTGTTTTGTTTTTTTACTTAACTTTTGCTATGTTTTACATACTACAATGATTTTCACAGAAAATTGTTAAATACACTTTTATTCCTGGAAAAATTATTTGGGTACAAGGTAATTTTAACATAAAAATATATATGAAAACTTTGCAGACACTTGAGCATAAAGTAACACATAACACTTACCACTATACTTTGCAACAACTTCTGCATCATCTTTCTTTGCTTCAGAGATTATCCACCTGTAAAAAAAAATCAAAAACTTCTTATCTTTGTTTAACAACACTAAGTTCCAAAGCCGAAACAATGATCACAAATCAATAAAACCACTAAATGCAAGGCTATGTAACAAAAAATAAATCACCTAACAAGACTGATCATATTTTAAGCTTGACTGCATGACATTCCAGAGTTGAGTTTAACCTGACATTTAGAAACTTAGTACTCTCGTCATTTTTAATTGTCATATTCCTAAAAACATTATTGCAATGTCATACTTTTTTGTGATTAATAGCTACAAGTTTTGTAAATACACAAAAAATAAACAAATAAATATGCTCTGCCAAGTTATTTTAAATTCCTGAACATTAAGTATCCAAGACAATCTTTCAATTTTTCCTAGACAAAATCTTCAATTCCTGGACCTCCAATTCAATCCTTGACAACTGGGAAACCTAGGCTCACTCAGCATTTACTTCTATATTAAGCATATAAACTGTTAACAATTCTAAAATTTAGCCTCTCAATAAAGAAAAAATTAAAACTTAATTAATAGAAAATAGAGAGAATCCAAATTGTTGTATTCTTTTGAACAAACCATAAGCATTATTTACCATTATTTCCTGAAGACAGCACTAGAATGAAAGTACGCCGGAATATTATTGCAATTTATCTTCTATTACATAATAAGCATGACTAACATAAAGATAAGAGGAAAAAAAAAAATCAAAATGCAATTTAATCACAGTTAGAAGCAGGAAAAGCAAACAATCACAAAGCTTTCTCCAATAAAAATCAACTACAAAGACAACATTTTGTGAGATAGTGAATTCTACCTTTATTTTGTTATGGTTTTGTTTACCATTCATTTATTATTCCTTTTAACATTTGATTCAACTATGAATGTTAAGTTATATTAAACTGCTATCTCACCTTCTACCTAGGAGAACATTGAATTTGAGTAAGTTTGCATTATGAAACTGACACAAGCTTCCCCTAGCAGTGAAATACAGATATAAATGTTGTGAAAGCTTATGTAAATTAGCTAGTCAGATGAGATGTAACCTCTTAGTCTAACCACCAAATAAAAACCCTTTCTTCATCTTAAACGAGTTAGTTCATGAGACATAGTTAGAATGAATTAATACTGATTGTTGCTCAATGTTGTTATTGATCTCGAGAAGTGTTTAAATTTTGGGATGGTGTGTTTTTTCTTCATCTGGTTCCTTTTCCTAATTCCTTCATTTATTAATATTAATAACATTGATACTTATGTTGTTTTGTTTATTAACGTTTGTATCCAACCCTGACCAGGCACAAATTTACCAACTGTTTTTTTTTTTTAATTTTGATATCCTGTGTTTAATTCAACCCTGTAGCAGTGTTTTGTTTCTGTCCATAATGTTTGCACAGGACACCTAAAAAACCCTTCAAATTGTGCAGTTCATGTATAATAATTTCTGAATGAAAATAAGTGCATAATAGCACATTAACCACATCATATCTGGTATATCTAGTGCCAATGAGGCCATTTGTGCAATACCAGCTAGGAATCTTCAGACTGGCTGGAATGCAACAGACATAAAATTGATTGAGATGCTATTTATAATATTAAATTGCTTGAACAACAATTGTTTTGGTATGAACTGGATTAAGTTGACAAAAATGCAATTTTTATCAATTTTATTTAAGACATTACACATCAAACTTAGGGTATGGAATTCTTAACATTGTATTTTTTTTTAACCAAATTGTTTATTATTATTATTATCATATATTATAATGCTCAATTATATGCCCTCTTAAATAGAGTGAAGCAAGTGACATTTTAAAATTCTGGAAAAGCAGAAAAAACATGGTCTGGGCTTGGTAAGCAACTAAAATTCTAGCAAGTACTAGTCTGGAGAGTTGAAAATTAAGTTATGATGAGGCACTTCAGTAATATTAGTTCTACTGACAATTCTTTTTATGCTTAAGATACACAAAAATTAGACATTAATTATATGATTAGGAAGTTCTTAGTAATCATCTTTTCGTAAAAATTACTTTTAGATATCTTTAATGACCACACAAGTTTCATTCTATTTTCCCAAGCCTACAACTGTTGCTTATAATGCTTGGAGATGGCTTGAATGGGTAATGAAGAAAAACTTTAGTACAAGTTTAACATAACTGCATATATTCAAGGTTTTGTTATGATCAGGTACCTGATGATGACAAAACTTTGTCAAAACGTTGTACATTTGCTGTTATGTTAAACTTGTATTAGAGTTTTCTTCATTACCTATTCAAGCCATCTCCAAGCATTATTAGTCTCAAAGTGATTCCTCATCATCGAATATGTTGCTTAGCATCAGTTATCATAAAGTTAAAAAAAATTATTGTTTTAAAGGGAAAAAAAAAATATATGAGATAACATCAATATGTAATCCAGGCTATTTTCTAAATATGTTGCCTTTGTATGTACCTTAAGGTCATTACATACATTTTCCAGCAAGTATTCAGAGAAAGTTATTTGCACATGCATTCAGTTTATGGCACCCTGCTTCTGCACACTAAGTTACTAAGATAAATGTTTGATTCACCTCTTTTCAAACGTCTCGGGATCATCAAAATGTTCTGCTATATACACATTACCAATAGGCTTGGGAGTGGTATAGGGAATTTTTTCTATCACAGTTCCTGCTGCAGAGTTCTAAAAAAAAATCAGGTGGTCACTAACAAATGAAAGTTATAATATTTGCATTTTGAAAATAATAAAGTGACTAAATGTACACACACACACACACACACACACACACACACACATATATATATATATATATATATATATAGAAGGTCCATTACAGAAACTAAAATGGTAAGCTCTTTAATTATCTGCTTCTCTTACAACTTAAGCATTTGGAAAACAAAATATTCTCAACAGTTTCATAAACAGTTTGGCTTGCCTTACAAATTTGTTGATGTTTCTAATTTTTATCATGTTGTACACTTCAACTTCCAGAGAGTCTTTAATACTGGAGCTCACAAGAAAACAGTTAGCAAGATACTTATGTTTTAAATTTAGTGAAATGGTTAAGAAGCAGATACATACCTGGATTAGTGGAAAACAATTAGAAAATTGACATATAACTAGTGATTTTCAATAAAGTTTTAGAGTAGGGTTTTCTTGCTTTACCAATTATAATTTGAACAAAGCCTCTGCTTTTCTGGGATAAATACATTCCAACTGATATTGTATACCTTGACTTTCAGAAAGCCATTAATAAGTGATTGATTAGTAAATTTGATTCTTTATACAAGACTTGCAAGACCTCATTAACAGTTGTGTATAAAACTGCAAACTTATTATTATACCAAAAATATCATCATAGTAGAAAGAGTACAGAGACATACTAGTATAAAAATTCCTAGTTTAAGAAGCCTAGACTTTTGGACTTGTTCTTTCTTGCTGAAAACCTAAAGAAGGTCTTGATTTGGGTATCCATAATTGTTAGGAAATTGGATAGACTCCCTATGGGTGGTCTGTCTGAGTAGTGAAACAGTTGGAATATGAATATGAATATTATGGGTAATAGGTTTAACCTTAGAACCCCAGATGTAAACTTGTTCTTCAGCAAAATAATTTTTGGTTAGTTTTAAACACGGTGGAATGGTATGCTTGATGACATGTATAGCATTAATTTGAACTATTTAAAAATTCTTCTAGGTACATATGTGGACTTCATGTTTTGGTTTCTTGTCTTTGTGGGTAAGATTTGACTTCCAGTAGGCCAAATGGTCTTTTTAACTTGATATTTTGTTTTGTTTCATAAAATAAAAAATACTATGATAATTAATGAATGAAACTATTTATAATAATTTACCTTTTCTGCTCCTACTTTGACTTCATTATCATCTGCTCTAGTACTAAATGTGTGTACGATCAAGACTGATACCACCACAAACACCAAACTTAGCTTCATCCTACTGAAAATAAAAGTACATTTGAACAATACATGAACATTTTCTATTTTTACTTACATTCAATTTTCATATTAACAACTATTATTGAAAATCATTTTTATATTAACATTTTTATTAATGTAACTTACATTGTGTTAAAGAACCAGATTTTATGGGTAACCTTTACTTAGCATTACCAAAAGAAGAATGATCTCCATTCTTGTATACCATATGAGCAAGTGATACATTTATAATATTCATATAAATTGTGTGACTATAAAGTAAAGGGTCCAAAATTATATTTCATATTTTGAAATTTAATAATTAAATAACTAAAGAAATACAACCATGTAGTTTTCAACATCTTGTAGCCAAACTCAAACAGTTTTTACTGTCATGTTTTTTTTTTTTTCACTCCTGCATAATGGCAACCATGCAAGAAAAGGTTGGTTGGTGTTTAATGGCGCAAAGCAACTAGGCTATCTGCACCAAAAAAACAGTAAAAGTAAGTTGTAATAAAATGTAAATATAAAGCGAGTTAAAACCAAAATATGTCCAAAGAACAGATAAAAGAATTAAATAAAATTAAAAGGACCAAGTATGCTTAACAAATTGAAAATACAATCAATGACACTGTCCAACGTCAAGGATAAACCCTTGCAAAACACATGTCTAAAATGGTGCTGCTGCTCATGGTCGTAACGACAGCATGACAGTAAAATGTGGGCTAGTGTGACTTAAGTGTCACAAAGGCTACACATTGGTGGGTCAATACCAGATAAAAGAAAACGATGAGTTAAAAAACTGTGAACAATGCATAGCCTTGCCAGGACAACTTCCTTGTTCCGATCCTTATGGAAGCAAGATGGCCAAAGAGCAACAGAAGGTTTGATCTGGAAAAGCTTGTTATGATTTTGCTCACCCCAAGTCGAGTGGCAACTGACACGAAGCCACGCCTTGAATACAGGACTATAGTTTATGTATGGGACAGGCACAACTATAATGGCACCAGAGTAGACGGACTTAGCTGCGGTGTTAGCGAGCTCATTCATGCAAATGTCAACGTGGCCAGGTATCCAGAAAAACTGGATGAAAAAAATGGAAGATAGAGAAAAATGGGCCAGTTTTTGTTGTTGAATATCAATGAGAACAGGGTGAGAACTAATGTTAAGTGACTCTAGGGCCAGTAGAGAGATAAGAGAATCAGTATAAATAGTACAATCACTGTACTGAATAGCTTCTACATGATTCAGGGCAAGAGAAATAGCATACAACTCAGCAGTGAACACATAAACTGTAGAGGGGATCCTGCAAGCAACTACCGAGCCACAGCAAACCATGGCAGAGCCTACAGAGTCACCCAATTTTGAACTATCTGTGTAAATAGGAAGAGAAGAATGGCTCGAAAGATGTTCAGCAAAAAGAAGATGGTACTTCCAATCAGGATTATCTGCCTTCCTCAGATGACTTAAGGAAAGTTCACAGGCAGGGATGGTAATAAGCCATGGCGGAATGGGCTGATCATTGGGGACAGCAATGTCATCCCATGCCAGACCC